CCCATATAACGTGGTGGGGACCATTACAGTGGCGCGCTCTAGAGCATCACCTTCTTACACGAACTAAATTACGAACTGCCACCAACGTTATTTAAAACGCGCGTGGGTTCTCGGGACGCAAACACACACGCTTGATACAAAAGATCGCGCCGCTGTCCGCCCTACCTTTTTTTTCGTGCGTGTATTATTATGAATAAATGAATTTTAAAGATAAACTCATAGTACTTAACTTCTTTTGTAATTTATATCAGAAATCGCTCATAATCAAAGTGTATTGGTATTTCTTGACAAATATTTATGTGGGGAAGTTGACGAGCCTTCCAGCAGCTGTATCCGGCGACACTAGCGCATCCTATAGTAGCAACCTCTAGCTTTGTCCCCAATTTTGATGGAGAGTTGCCGGGCCCTGGTCCTGGGGTTCTAGAACCGGCGGTGCTGGAATTTCAACATTAGCTAAGTCGAATTCAGCCGTTGTCTGCGGGAGAATTATAGCGGCGGTTGCTCTGATCGGGAGTTTTCCGCGGTTTCTTCGATCGACAACAGACGGATACCGGGGCAGAACCGTAACAAACTGGTAAGGGACCAGGCGAGGTCTTTGCTTTCTCTTTCTTGTCCTCTCCTCTCTTCGTGCACGCACACACACTTACAAGCACTGTACTACCAGACGTTACAGCAGCTTGGAGTTGGTTCCGCCTAGGGCGGTACTTTTGTACCGGAAATTCATAGAGGAAGAAATCTTCCAAACCGACGCTGGATCCCGTCATCCATTCCATTTTCATTCACGTTGCTTTGCGGAGATACCCTCTCCGGGTATCTCTGCCAGTAGAGCAAAGCCACAATCGGGCCAGGCCCCAAACCGATTGGTCGTGCGACATACCTCCCCCCCTCCCGATTGTTCTCCCGACATGTGGTTTTGCAGTGCATGTAAATGTGTTTGTGTAAGGGGAGTTGAGAGGACAGCGATTAGGAAGGAAAGATGGCGAGCGGTCTTTAGCCCGTTTGTTAGGCTACTGCACCAGCATACGACTGGTGTTTATAGGATAAACCACGGAAAATGATCAATCTGAGCAGCCGTTCGCGAGAATTCTCCTCCAGACATCAGCTATATTCGACATCGCTATCTAGCTAGCGGGGAAAATCAGCGACGGTCTGAATTCGAAGGATACCCGGTTCCAAATGAAAGTAAGCGATCTTTTACGCTCCCTCGCTCTATCTCCCAGCGTCAAAGTAGTGAGCACTCACTTCGCACGCATAAGACATAATACTGGTACATATATGATGTTTTTACCCAGTAATCAATCACTTAACCTAAAGAATGATAAACCTAAATAATTATAACAAAAAATCACTTATTCGTGATGCACAACAATACCGCCTTTGATGGCTCAGTGACATAATTTTCGTTGTATTTGCTTCTTTCTTAACTGGAGATCCTAGGGTTCGAGCTCCGTCTCCCAAGCTGGAGCAGACACCCTGCAATCCGCCTTGTAGATTGGCGCCGGATCTCACGTCCACGCGGGATAGGTACACCGCCTCACTCAGCTATAATATGCACTACGCTTACGGGAATAATGACTAAAGTACTTGGCGTGCCTGTAAACCTGACGGGACATTGCAAACAAATTCTGCTGAATGTTATTCAAATTACTATACTTAGTAGGGTGGTAAAGACCGTCAGTGCTTCAAATGCATATAACTAAAAAATAATACTTTTCCAACACATTAAATTGTATATATTTTGAAAGGTATACTAACAGTTACGTGGAATAAGTACAACCTTATTTAAAATAGTCGGTGCGGTAAAGCAGCGGTAAAGACATACTTTCATGTAAATACTTAAGCTCCACGTTAGGGTAAAACAGACATTTTCAACATAGGGTCATTCCGTTTGCAGTGGTTGAATTTTAGAGACGTGCCCCGTGCGACAATCACGAATTTTGATGAACTTTTGTAAGCCGAATCTTACAGGTTTCAAAGGTTCAGGTTGCCTTGGAACCCCTTCCCGACTCCTTGTTGCCTACACCTTTCGGCTAACGACGTGAGTATCGTGTGGCAACCTGACGGGAGGTTATTCCCCGCCGGAATTGTAGTGGATTCTAATGGGTATGTGGATTCCAGAGTATTCCGAAGAATCTCCTCTGCCCGATCCAGCCCACAGGTCGATGCGCCATAGACCCGTTTCAAAGGTTTCAAAGGTTTCAAAGGTTTGGGTGGCTTGGGGCCCCCTTTGCGACTCCTCGTTGCCTACACCTTTCGGCTAACGACGTGAGTATCGCGTGGCAACCTGACGGGAGGTTATTCCCCGCCGGAATTCTAGTGGATTCTAATGGGTATGTGGATTCCAGAGTATTCCGAAGAATCTCCTCTGTCCGATCCAGCCCACAGGTCGACGACAAGAGACCCCGTTTCAAAGGTTCGGGTGGCTTGGAACCCCCTTTGCGACTCCTCGTTGCCTACACATTTCGGCTAACGACGTGAGTATCGCGTGGCAACCTGACGGGAGGTTATTTCTCGCCGGAATTCTAGTGGATTCTAGAGGATATGTGGATTCCAGAGTATGCCGAAGAATCTCCTCTGCCCGATCCAGCCCACAGCTCGACGCGCCATACGCCCGACTGGTGGGTCACCGGGCAAACCCCACAACCAAGAGCTTAGCATCTACTCACTGCCTCCACCTTGAAGCTATCGACGTGAGTGCCGCCGTGAAACCTATGGTCCGGGTGATCATCTACAACTTTTCGCCAGAGACCGTGTTCACCTACGCAGACACGATCCCCCCTGCGCTGGGAGCGGGTTGGAGGGGGGGCGCAGGCGCGGCGCAGCAGCAGCGCAGCACGATGCGCGCAGGCGCCGGTTCCCCCGCCCCCCGCCCCCCCCTCTCGGTGACGGAAGCAAGGACATTTTCCTCTCAAACAAACCAAGCATTGCTATTTCTCAACCATGCACTACGAATACTATTGGGCACTCCTTTACTACCTTGCTCCTGGAGTAAAAACATGTCTGCGTTCAAAAATGACAGAAGAATCCTTGAATGTGATATGCATGTTGCGTGTACATAGAAGTCTGATTCAGGAAAGAAGAAGAAAAAGAAGAAGAAAAGCAGAAAATGACGTTTTGGATGGGTTTGGAGCAACTAAGGTAAATTTCTTACATAATCAATTTTTTTCTTACATAATCAAGAACATTAGGCAGTAAGTAAGTAAAATATCCTTAATTGAATATTTTTGTATATTATATTCTCTCAATCTGGAAGTGAAGGGTATAATTCTATATGGCATTTTCACCACTATATATCTCTTAATTCTTTATAATTGAAGTACGTATTAGCTATAATGTGTTTCTGCAGAGATCCTTCCAATTATCTCGTTTTCACGTCTGTGTACGAATTTGCTCATGACGAATTATCTTTGTGTGCAAAATGAATTGTGGGGAACGTAGATCCTTGTGTTAATAAGCGGTAAACTCAAAGAATGTGGAAAGTGAATAAGATATATATACTTAAGACTGGGTTGCAAAATATGAATGTCCAATCTTCATTAAATACTGCAGTATGGTGCACAGCTCACGGTGCAACTGAAATTACTTTTAGATGAAACGCTTTGTATGAACCATGACTGCACAATATTATGCTTCAGGTGTAATTAATGAAAATGCAAAATTAATTTCTTAAAATTCAGTTACATGACATGGGATGAAGCAGTGACTAGCAGTTGCTGGACTCACGAAACACTGTGAGAGTACTACACAAACAAAAGACGTTTTCTTTCGTCTGCTGAGGAGGAAATACCTTCTCTTTGGTAACGACGAGTCACCGTTGTATGCATAGACTGTACTTAATGAGATTACTCAGTTTACAAGCGGTGTGCATTGTGCTTAAAAATTAATTAAGCGCTAAAAAGTAATGCAGTGATACCTGTGTTTTGTGTCGTGTTACTGTCGACACACAAAAAAATGTTTTTTTTTTCGGAATGAAAAAAATATAAAACTCATATTTGAATAATATTTTTTTTACTTGAGGGGCAAATTTTTTACTAGTTCTATTTTACTTTAAATTTAAAATAGTTTCTGGCACGTTAAGTCATTTAGTATTCGTAAAGGAAATAAAAAAATCCCCCCGTAAATTTGAAGGTGATTTTCTAAATATTTTACTACCTCTTTCCAATTGCAAAAATCCGGACGTACGCAGCACATCTCCATTTCCATGGTAACAGCCTTTCACGCGCTCCGTCTGCGTGTCCCGCACTGCTTTATAGCGGGGAAGACGCATGGAGGCGCCCGCGACCCGGATTCTCGCACGCCCTCGGTGCTAGCCGGTTGCTTCGCGCGGCGGGCGCCGGCTGCTGGCGGGCGGCGCGGCGCGGCGGCGCGTGGTTGCAACCGGCCCCGCGCGGAGTTTCCCGGCCAGGGGGCCACCGCGCCGCCCCGCGCCGGCGAGAGTCGTCTTCTCGGCGGCCGCTGGCTCCTGACCCCGGGCACCTCCACCTGCGCCGCGCAGAAGAGCGGCGCTGGAGCGTGGCGTGGCTGGGTGCGGAACGGGCCTGAGGAGGGGTGGGGGACACACATCAGTTCGGGTAGAGCAAGCGGGTCACGGCAGGTTCATTGATTAATTAGCCCGGGCGCGTCAACTGCTAAGGTCATTAGTCCAGTAAGTATAGTGCATTTTGTTGTTGATTTTATTGCGGGAGGTGGTCGTGATCGACCGCTGGATGGTGAGATCCGGTGCCGACCAACTCGTCGGTTAGCGCGGTATTCTCCAACCGGGTGTCTCCCACCAAATGGCCACCGCTCCAGCCAGAATAAGCTCGAAGTTTCCGACTGGTCTCCCGACATATTGTAGTGAAATGCACGGAAATTTGTGTGTGTGTGTGTGTGTGTGTAAACGCCGAGGATAAAACCAGGAAGAGGAAGGAAAGATCGCGCGCTGTCTGTTGCCCGTTTGTTAAGGTATTGCTTCGGCATTCGCGAGGTGATGATCGGAGAAACCACGGAGAACTACCGATCAGAGGAGCCGGCCGATAGAATTCTCCTGCAGACAGTGGCTGAATTCGACCTAGCTATGTAGCTACTGTCGAAAATCCTGCTATCGTCGGAACTCGAACCCTAGGACTGCCGATCAGAGACCCTGCAGTGACATCAATTGATGCGCTGAGCCACAGAAGCCGGAGAGATTCCACAGCGGATTTGGGCGGGGAAGCCCGGGAGCGGAGAGGGCTGGGGGGGGG